GGGGATGGGATTGGGATGGGGAGGAGATGGGATTGGGGTGGGGATGGGGATGGGATTGGGATGGGGATGGGATTGGGATGGGGAAGGGGATGGGGATGGGAATAGGGATGGGATGGGGATGGGATTGGGATGGGGATGGGGAAGGGGATGGGGATGGGGATGGGGATGGGATGGGGATGGAATTGGGATGGTTTTAGGATGGGATGGGGATGGCGTGGGGATGGGGATGGAAATGGGATGGGGATGATTTTAGGATGGGATGGGGATGGAGACAGGGATGGGGATGGGATGGGATTGGGATGGGGATGGGGATGGTTTTAGGATGGGATGAGGATGGTTTGGGATGGGATGGGGATGGGCAGGAGATGGAGATGGGGAAGGGGATGGGTTTGGGATGGGGATGGGATGGATGGGGATGCGGAGGGGGATGGGGGCGGGATGGGTTTAGGACAGGGTGGGTGTGGATGGGGAAGGGGATGGAGATGAGGATGGCGAAGGGGATAGGATTGGGATGGTCTTGGGATGGGATGGGGATGGGGATGGGAACAGGGATGGGGATGGGATGGAGATGGGGATGGGGACAAGACTGGATCAGGATCGGATGGGATAAAGGATGGGATGTATCCCAACACACAGCTGCGGGAAGGTGACCTGTGGGCCTGGAAGGAAGCAAGCGTGGGCGGCTGAGTGTGAGGCTGGGGTGGGCAGCATGGTCAGGGTGACCACAGCAGCCTCTTAGCTGGAGGTCATGACTCCTGTCTCTTCGAAGACCCTCCAGAAGGCGACCTGGAAGGACACCAAGGAGCATTGCCTCCGGCAGCTCCCCACCAAGAAGTAGACGAAGGGGTTGATGCTGCTGTTGATGCAGGCGAGCAGGAAAACGACCTGGGAGGACATGAGCATGTAGCCGAACTGCTGCAGGAAATTCCAGACGCTGAGGGGAACCCCGAAGATGAGAAAGAAGAGGACGGTGAGGAAGATCACAATGTACAGCCTCCCCGGTTGACGGCGCTGGGAGCCGCACAGGACCTTAATGACTAGGATCACGTTGGAGATGACCATGGGTGGCGCGAAGACGATGAAGTTGAGGACGTACATGGAGATGAGAGCCACCTGGCAGTGCCAATGCTCGTGTGACAGGCACAGCGAAGTCACCGCGGCAATGACAGCGACGGAGAGGGCCCAGAGCAGGGCACACACCACGGCCGACAAGTGCCGGGGGCGGTGGATGCTGGAGCAGAGGACGGACACGCACCTCTCGATGCTGATGGCCGTCAGGAGGTACAGGCCCATGTTGTAGGAGAACAGTGAGAGCAGGAAAAGCGACCTGGCGTACGTCAGGGACGCAAGAGCGGAGCAGACGTTCTCCATCATGTAGAGGAGGGACGAGGCGGCCATGAAGAGGAGGAAGGTGAAGTCGGCGACGGCCAGGTTGAGGATGTAGACGGTGATGGGGTTCCTGCGGATGCGGAAGCCGAGGAGCCAGAGGACGGCCCCGTTCCCCGCCAGCCCGCAGAGGCAGACGAGCAGCGCGACGATGTCTACGGCCATGTCGGTGGTCACCCTGCTGCCTCGGTGTCCCCCGAGGTGGTCACCCTGCTGCCTAGGTGACCCCAGAGGTGGTCACCCTGCTGCTTGGTGTCCTCCGAGGTGGTCACCCTGCTGCCTCGGTGTCCCCCGAGGTGGTCACCCTGCTGCCTAGGTGACCCCAGAGGTGGTCACCCTGCTGCTTGGTGTCCTCCGAGGTGGTCACCCTGCTGCCTCGGTGTCCCCCGAGGTGGTCACCCTGCTGCCTAGGTGACCCCAGAGGTGGTCACCCTGCTGCTTGGTGTCCTCCGAGGTGGTCACCCTGCTGCCTCGGTGTCCCCCGAGGTGGTCACCCTGCTGCCTAGGTGACCCCAGAGGTGGTCACCCTGCTGCTTGGTGTCCTCCGAGGTGGTCACCCTGCTGCCTCGGTGTCCCCCGAGGTGGTCACCCTGCTGCCTAGGTGACCCCAGAGGTGGTCACCCTGCTGCTTGGTGTCCTCCGAGGTGGTCACCCTGCTGCCTCGGTGTCCCCCGAGGTGGTCACCCTGCTGCCTAGGTGACCCCAGAGGTGGTCACCCTGCTGCTTGGTGTCCTCCGAGGTGGTCACCCTGCTGCCTCGGTGTCCCCCGAGGTGGTCACCCTGCTGCCTAGGTGACCCCAGAGGTGGTCACCCTGCTGCTTGGTGTCCTCCGAGGTGGTCACCCTGCTGCCTCGGTGTCCCCCGAGGTGGTCACCCTGCTGCCTAGGTGACCCCAGAGGTGGTCACCCTGCTGCTTGGTGTCCTCCGAGGTGGTCACCCTGCTGCCTCGGTGTCCCCCGAGGTGGTCACCCTGCTGCCTAGGTGACCCCAGAGGTGGTCACCCTGCTGCTTGGTGTCCTCCGAGGTGGTCACCCTGCTGCCTCGGTGTCCCCCGAGGTGGTCACCCTGCTGCCTAGGTGACCCCAGAGGTGGTCACCCTGCTGCTTGGTGTCCTCCGAGGTGGTCACCCTGCTGCCTCGGTGTCCCCCGAGGTGGTCACCCTGCTGCCTAGGTGACCCCAGAGGTGGTCACCCTGCTGCTTGGTGTCCTCCGAGGTGGTCACCCTGCTGCCTCGGTGTCCCCCGAGGTGGTCACCCTGCTGCCTAGGTGACCCCAGAGGTGGTCACCCTGCTGCTTGGTGTCCTCCGAGGTGGTCACCCTGCTGCCTCGGTGTCCCCCGAGGTGGTCACCCTGCTGCCTAGGTGACCCCAGAGGTGGTCACCCTGCTGCTTGGTGTCCTCCGAGGTGGTCACCCTGCTGCCTCGGTGTCCCCCGAGGTGGTCACCCTGCTGCCTAGGTGACCCCAGAGGTGGTCACCCTGCTGCTTGGTGTCCTCCGAGGTGGTCACCCTGCTGCCTCGGTGTCCCCCGAGGTGGTCACCCTGCTGCCTAGGTGACCCCAGAGGTGGTCACCCTGCTGCTTGGTGTCCTCCGAGGTGGTCACCCTGCTGCCTCGGTGTCCCCCGAGGTGGTCACCCTGCTGCCTAGGTGACCCCAGAGGTGGTCACCCTGCTGCTTGGTGTCCTCCGAGGTGGTCACCCTGCTGCCTCGGTGTCCCCCGAGGTGGTCACCCTGCTGCCTAGGTGACCCCAGAGGTGGTCACCCTGCTGCTTGGTGTCCTCCGAGGTGGTCACCCTGCTGCCTCGGTGTCCCCCGAGGTGGTCACCCTGCTGCCTAGGTGACCCCAGAGGTGGTCACCCTGCTGCTTGGTGTCCTCCGAGGTGGTCACCCTGCTGCCTCGGTGTCCCCCGAGGTGGTCACCCTGCTGCCTAGGTGACCCCAGAGGTGGTCACCCTGCTGCTTGGTGTCCTCCGAGGTGGTCACCCTGCTGCCTCGGTGTCCCCCGAGGTGGTCACCCTGCTGCCTAGGTGACCCCAGAGGTGGTCACCCTGCTGCTTGGTGTCCTCCGAGGTGGTCACCCTGCTGCCTCGGTGTCCCCCGAGGTGGTCACCCTGCTGCCTAGGTGACCCCAGAGGTGGTCACCCTGCTGCTTGGTGTCCTCCGAGGTGGTCACCCTGCTGCCTCGGTGTCCCCCGAGGTGGTCACCCTGCTGCCTAGGTGACCCCAGAGGTGGTCACCCTGCTGCTTGGTGTCCTCCGAGGTGGTCACCCTGCTGCCTCGGTGTCCCCCGAGGTGGTCACCCTGCTGCCTAGGTGACCCCAGAGGTGGTCACCCTGCTGCTTGGTGTCCTCCGAGGTGGTCACCCTGCTGCCTCGGTGTCCCCCGAGGTGGTCACCCTGCTGCCTAGGTGACCCCAGAGGTGGTCACCCTGCTGCTTGGTGTCCTCCGAGGTGGTCACCCTGCTGCCTCGGTGTCCCCCGAGGTGGTCACCCTGCTGCCTAGGTGACCCCAGAGGTGGTCACCCTGCTGCTTGGTGTCCTCCGAGGTGGTCACCCTGCTGCCTCGGTGTCCCCCGAGGTGGTCACCCTGCTGCCTAGGTGACCCCAGAGGTGGTCACCCTGCTGCTTGGTGTCCTCCGAGGTGGTCACCCTGCTGCCTCGGTGTCCCCCGAGGTGGTCACCCTGCTGCCTAGGTGACCCCAGAGGTGGTCACCCTGCTGCTTGGTGTCCTCCGAGGTGGTCACCCTGCTGCCTCGGTGTCCCCCGAGGTGGTCACCCTGCTGCCTAGGTGACCCCAGAGGTGGTCACCCTGCTGCTTGGTGTCCTCCGAGGTGGTCACCCTGCTGCCTCGGTGTCCCCCGAGGTGGTCACCCTGCTGCCTAGGTGACCCCAGAGGTGGTCACCCTGCTGCTTGGTGTCCTCCGAGGTGGTCACCCTGCTGCCTCGGTGTCCCCCGAGGTGGTCACCCTGCTGCCTAGGTGACCCCAGAGGTGGTCACCCTGCTGCTTGGTGTCCTCCGAGGTGGTCACCCTGCTGCCTCGGTGTCCCCCGAGGTGGTCACCCTGCTGCCTAGGTGACCCCAGAGGTGGTCACCCTGCTGCTTGGTGTCCTCCGAGGTGGTCACCCTGCTGCCTCGGTGTCCCCCGAGGTGGTCACCCTGCTGCCTAGGTGACCCCAGAGGTGGTCACCCTGCTGCTTGGTGTCCTCCGAGGTGGTCACCCTGCTGCCTCGGTGTCCCCCGAGGTGGTCACCCTGCTGCCTAGGTGACCCCAGAGGTGGTCACCCTGCTGCTTGGTGTCCTCCGAGGTGGTCACCCTGCTGCCTCGGTGTCCCCCGAGGTGGTCACCCTGCTGCCTAGGTGACCCCAGAGGTGGTCACCCTGCTGCTTGGTGTCCTCCGAGGTGGTCACCCTGCTGCCTCGGTGTCCCCCGAGGTGGTCACCCTGCTGCCTAGGTGACCCCAGAGGTGGTCACCCTGCTGCTTGGTGTCCTCCGAGGTGGTCACCCTGCTGCCTCGGTGTCCCCCGAGGTGGTCACCCTGCTGCCTAGGTGACCCCAGAGGTGGTCACCCTGCTGCTTGGTGTCCTCCGAGGTGGTCACCCTGCTGCCTCGGTGTCCCCCGAGGTGGTCACCCTGCTGCCTAGGTGACCCCAGAGGTGGTCACCCTGCTGCTTGGTGTCCTCCGAGGTGGTCACCCTGCTGCCTCGGTGTCCCCCGAGGTGGTCACCCTGCTGCCTAGGTGACCCCAGAGGTGGTCACCCTGCTGCTTGGTGTCCTCCGAGGTGGTCACCCTGCTGCCTCGGTGTCCCCCGAGGTGGTCACCCTGCTGCCTAGGTGACCCCAGAGGTGGTCACCCTGCTGCTTGGTGTCCTCCGAGGTGGTCACCCTGCTGCCTCGGTGTCCCCCGAGGTGGTCACCCTGCTGCCTAGGTGACCCCAGAGGTGGTCACCCTGCTGCTTGGTGTCCTCCGAGGTGGTCACCCTGCTGCCTCGGTGTCCCCCGAGGTGGTCACCCTGCTGCCTAGGTGACCCCAGAGGTGGTCACCCTGCTGCTTGGTGTCCTCCGAGGTGGTCCCCCTGCTGCCTCGGTGTCCCCCGAGGTGGTCACCCTGCTGCCTAGGTGACCCCAGAGGTGGTCACCCTGCTGCTTGGTGTCCTCCGAGGTGGTCACCCTGCTGCCTCGGTGTCCCCCGAGTTGGTCACCCTGCTGCTTGGTGACCCCAGAGGTGGTCACCCTGCTGCTTGGTGTCCCCAGAGGTGGTCACCCTGCTGCCTCGGTGTCCCCAGAGCCACACTGCGCCCCAAGGTTGGAGAGGCAGACGCGGTCCCAGGCTGGGGGAGGACCCAGCCCAGTAAGGAACTGGTGCGTGATGGTCTTCTCCTCTGCCCGGCAGGACAGGAAGACTACGACAGGCTTCGCCCGCTGTCCTACTCGGAAGCCAGCGTGGTCCTCATCTGCTTCGACGTCACCAACCCCATCAGCTACGACAACGTCCTCACCAAGGTGACCAGCCACCCACCCCATCCATGGGAGGTGGTGTGGAGCTGCTGCCCATCCCATGTCCCCGTCCCCACCCCGGGTGACACCCGTCCCCCTCCCCGCAGTGGTACCCGGAGGTGAACCACTTCTGCAAGGGCGTCCCAGTGCTGCTGGTGGGCTGCAAGACCGACCTGCGGCGGGACCCGTGCATAGGTGTGTATCCATGTGTGCTGCACATGTATAGGTGTGTATACATGTGTCCTGCATGTACATAGGTGTATGTGTGTGCTGCATGTACATAGGTGTGTATACATGTGTGTCGTGTGTGTAGGCATGTGTACATTTGCTCCGCGTACATAGGTGTGTATACATGTCCTGCGTGTGTATATGTGTGTGCTGCATGTGTATGGGTATGTATATGTGTCCTGCGTGTGTGTAGGTGTGTATACATGTGCTGATTGTGCATAGGTGTGTATACATGTCCTGCATGTACATATGTGTGTACATGTGTGTGTTGCATGTACATAGGTGTGTATATGTGTTACATGTGTGTAGCTGTGTATACGTGTCCTGTGTGTACAGTTGTGTATACGTGTGTGCTGCATGTGCATAGGTGTGTATACATGTGTTGCATGTGTGTAGGTGTGTATACGTGTGCTGTGTGTGCATAGGTGTGTATACATGTGTCCTGCATGTACATAGGTGTGTGTATATGTGTGCTGTGTGTACAGATGTGTATATGTGTGTGCTGCATGCACATAGGTGTGTATACGTGTGTGCTGCATGTACATATGTGTGTATACCTGTCTTGCTTGTGCATAGGTGTGTGTGTCCTGTGTATACATAGGTGTGTGTATGTGTGTCCTGCATGTGCATAGGCGTGTATACGTCCTGTGTGTACATAGGTGTGTGTATGTGTGCTGCATGTGCATAGGTGTGTATACGTGTGTTGCATGTGTATAGGTGTGTATACGTGTATCCTGTCTGTGCATAGGTGTGTATCCATGTGTGCTGCACATGTATAGGTGTGTATACATGTGTCCTGCATGTACATAGGTGTATGTGTGTGCTGCATGTACATAGGTGTGTATACATGTGTGTCGTGTGTGTAGGCATGTGTACATTTGCTCCGCGTACATAGGTGTGTATACATGTCCTGCGTGTGTATATGTGTGTGCTGCATGTGTATGGGTATGTATATGTGTCCTGCGTGTGTGTAGGTGTGTATACATGTGCTGATTGTGCATAGGTGTGTATACATGTCCTGCATGTACATATGTGTGTACATGTGTGTGTTGCATGTACATAGGTGTGTATATGTGTTACATGTGTGTAGCTGTGTATACGTGTCCTGTGTGTACAGTTGTGTATACGTGTGTGCTGCATGTGCATAGGTGTGTATACATGTGTTGCATGTGTGTAGGTGTGTATACGTGTGCTGTGTGTGCATAGGTGTGTATACATGTGTCCTGCATGTACATAGGTGTGTGTATATGTGTGCTGTGTGTACAGATGTGTATATGTGTGTGCTGCATGCACATAGGTGTGTATACGTGTGTGCTGCATGTACATATGTGTGTATACCTGTCTTGCTTGTGCATAGGTGTGTGTGTCCTGTGTATACATAGGTGTGTGTATGTGTGTCCTGCATGTGCATAGGCGTGTATACGTCCTGTGTGTACATAGGTGTGTGTATGTGTGCTGCATGTGCATAGGTGTGTATACGTGTGTTGCATGTGTATAGGTGTGTATACGTGTATCCTGTCTGTGCATAGGTGTGTATCCATGTGTGCTGCACATGTATAGGTGTGTATACATGTGTCCTGCATGTACATAGGTGTATGTGTGTGCTGCATGTACATAGGTGTGTATACATGTGTGTCGTGTGTGTAGGCATGTGTACATTTGCTCCGCGTACATAGGTGTGTATACATGTCCTGCGTGTGTATATGTGTGTGCTGCATGTGTATGGGTATGTATATGTGTCCTGCGTGTGTGTAGGTGTGTATACATGTGCTGATTGTGCATAGGTGTGTATACATGTCCTGCATGTACATATGTGTGTACATGTGTGTGTTGCATGTACATAGGTGTGTATATGTGTTACATGTGTGTAGCTGTGTATACGTGTCCTGTGTGTACAGTTGTGTATACGTGTGTGCTGCATGTGCATAGGTGTGTATACATGTGTTGCATGTGTGTAGGTGTGTATACGTGTGCTGTGTGTGCATAGGTGTGTATACATGTGTCCTGCATGTACATAGGTGTGTGTATATGTGTGCTGTGTGTACAGATGTGTATATGTGTGTGCTGCATGCACATAGGTGTGTATACGTGTGTGCTGCACGTGTACAGCTGTGTATACATGTCCTGTGTTTACACAGGTGTGTGTACGTGCGTGCTGTGCATACGTAGGTGTGTATACATGTCATGTGTGTACATAGGTGTGTATATGTGTGTGCTGTGTGTACACAGGTACATATACATGTGTGCTGGGTACACACAGGTGAGTACACGTGTGTGCTGTGTGTACAGGTGTGTATACGGGTGTGCTCCATGTACATAGGTGCGTCTACCTGTGTGCTGCTTGTGTATAGGTGTGTATAGGTGTGTCCTGCGGTCCACAGGCGTGTGTCTGCATGTGCTCTGTGTGTATAGGTGCATGCACACGCATGTCCCATGTGCACAGGTGTGTACACGTGTGCCCCATGTGTGTAGGTGCGTACACACGCATGTCCCATGTGCACAGGTGTGTACACGTGTCTCTTGCGTGTGCATAGGTGGGGGGGTGTGCTCCATGTGCACAGGCGTGTGTCTGCATGTGCTGCGTGCGTATAGGTATGTGCACACGTGTCCCATGTGCACAGGTGTGTACACGTGTGTGCTGTGTACAGGTGTGTGCACACGCGCATCCCATGTGCACAGGCGTGTCCCCGCGTGTCCCGCAGCCCACACGTGCGCACCCCTGTGCGCTGCGCGCACGTGCCCGTGCCTGCGCTGTGCACGGGCACCCGCGTGCCTGTCCGCGCAGGGGTCAGCGCGCGCGCGCCCGTGCCCGCGCAGG